GATCAAGTTTCTTAGGGTTTCAAGCTTGTTTCGAGGTAGATGATGGTTGTGACTCTATGATTGTGTGATGTATGCTTGTTCTTGCTTCATTATGATACTTGTATATGTATGAATATTGCAATGTTGATCACACTTGTTGTAAATGAAATAGATAATTGATGAATACCATAAAATCATGACTTAAATGTATGATCTTGATGATATACTTGTGATTATGATTGTGGTGTGTGAATGAGATCAGTTGCCACGTTCCGGCATAACTAACTTGAATCGGTTGCCACGTTTCAGCATAAATATGGGATTGATTGCCACATTCCGGCATGCTAACTGTTTGGGTTTGGGTTCCATGAGAGGACCAATGATTTGATATAAATGTGAAGTTGTTCGTTGTTCGTAAATATTGATGATATTGTATATGTTGATATGTATGCATGTGATTATAATGTTGTTTGACTTGTTTATTTTTGCACGAGTGGGATAGCTGTGTGATCCTACTGGCTAGTACACTGTACATTGTGGTTGTGTACTAATTCTGCACTAGTTCTTATTTTTGTTGAGTACAAGGCATCTTCAAGCGACTATTGACAGATCTCGCTTAGAACATCAGTGATCGTCATTCAAATTCAAGAGTGAGCCAATTCTTTCGGGCTGCCATGAGATTCTCTTTTGTCTATGTCTACCATTTCCGGACTTAGACATTTGTTTTAGTTAGTTCATTAGTATGAGATTGTATCCCTTCTTGTTTAGACTTGGATCATTGTTAGATGTTTTGGTAAATTGACTTTCAGGTTCTAGGTTATTCCTCCGCATTGTTAGTTATTATTGTTAGACTTTTGTTTGAGTTTATGGGAACTCTATTTTTAATTCCTTAGTGCTTGATTTAAATGCCTTAGTTTTTAGATTATTTGCTTGGTTTGAATTGTAGACTTGTAGTAGTGGTTCTCCCACTGAAGTGTTAGTTTGAGTGTCAATCACGACGGTCTGGGTCGTGACAAAATCTTTCTTTTATTTTCTTTATAAGAATTTTTTTTTTCTAAAAAAAATTCAATATTATCTAAACGACAGTAATATTTAAAATTCATTATAAATTTTTTTGGAATCTCAAAATTCTAATATACAAAATAAAATCTTTACTAGCCTTACCTTGAGTCGTAATTACCACAAGGTCTTTGAATTTAGCTCCTAACAGCGTTTTATATTAATAAATTATAATAATATCATCTTTAAATACATGTCCAATATATAAAATACTTCTTCGTATAAAGTAACTTTATATATCCCTTTCAATATCACAAATAATAGTATAACTTAATTTATAACTTTGAAGAGCTTAATTAAATGCAAAGATAGTTATTTATTCCCTCTATTTCATATTAGCTAAATTTTTGAGGTTTTTTTTTTTTATCATTCAAGATAATTGAACTATTCAAAGTTCAAGATGGATGTTTGATTTTTTTTTCCATATTTTTCCTTTCATTTATTGAAGTATTATAATTTCGATAAATTACAGTATTTACAAAGTTATATTTATGATTTCACAAAGATCAATAGTAAAAATTGTGATTTAAATTATATCTTTAAATATTTTCTTAAATATGTGCATAGTTTCACAAATTCAGTTAATATGAAATAGAGAGTGCCCACTAATTTACTATAGAATACTTACTTACCATTAAAGTTGGGAAAAATAAAATAAAATGTCCTATTACAAAATAAAGAAGTAAAAAGATTGGGCAACCAATCCGTGAATATGATAATCGGTGCACCAGTTTTTTCTAATAAAAAAAATACTAGATTAAGTTATTGAGTATTGATACTTTAAAATTTCCTAGTTCGTCATTACATAAGGTAAAATAGTCTTTGTTGATTTTGTCACTTTTTTTAAAGTAGAAATTACACAGATTTCATAGTGTTAAGAGCTAATTACATCATATTCCTATTTTTTTTCAAATTATAAAAATTCCTAAGGTGAAACTTGGATACATTCCAAAACATTCCGATACATTGCGTCCCGATTTCAGATACATCCTTCAACGTCCTGATACATCGTATCTCAATTTTAGATACATCACTCAATGTCCTGATGCATTGCGTAAAGTGATGTATTTGATCAATACATTGCGTAAAGTGATGTATCCGATCGCGTAAAGTGATGTATCAGACTAATACATCACGTAAAGTACTGTTTCGATATATTGCTTACGTTCCAATACATCGTAAGTGATGTATCTGACTCATACATTGCGTAAAGTGATGTATCCGACCTATACATTGCGTAAAGTGATGTATCTGACTGATACATCGCGTAAAATAGGAATTTTTGTAATGATAATTGTTTTACCGAATATAATAAAATAAATTGTGTATTTCAGTAATTTTTTCAATTTTTTATCAGTCGATTATATATGTTAATTTCATTTAAATAATATGACAAAACTGAAAAACATATTTGTCATTTCATTTCCATAAACCAATGAGCACTTCAATTATTATTTTTCAACCATAAAAGTGATAGATTAACCAAAAACTAGTACCAACACACCCAAATGAATTAGTCAGGAAAACCAAAATTAGCAATAACGAGCGAGAAAATAGAGTGGTAATTCACTAATAAAGTTATTCATAATATTTTATAAATGTACCGTTAAATTTTTCTATAGCAATCGTCCTTTGTAATAAGTACAATTCACTATAACAATCAAATTTCTTTAAAATCGATTTTTTATGTTATGTTATATTTATTACTCCCTCCTTTTCTAAAGAATGACCTCCTTTCCTTTATAGTCTGTTTCAAAAAGAATGACATCTTTCTTTTTTTTGGTAACATTTTAATTTCAGCTTTCCACGTGGCATGTTGAAGGCCACAAGATTAAAGGGCAATTTTGTACATTTGAAATAACTTTAATTTAAGACCACAAGATTCAAAAGTCTTCTTTATTTTCTTAAATTTCGTGTCAAGTCAAACTAGGTCAACATTCTTTGTGAAACGGAGGGAGTATATATTTTCTATAACATCATTCCGCTATAACAATTAAAATGTTTCAAAATAAAACAAAGTTATTATAACAAGATTTAAGTATTTAACTGTACATAATTTTCTTTGTTGTGATAAAAGAGAGAAGTACTATCCTTAAAACATACTCTCATAATTGTCATCCTTAAATCTGGATCGCGCAATGCAAGTCTCATTTGGGAGTGGCGTTTTCAACAGAATTTTCTCTGTATCTAGGGCTTGAATCTGAGATCTTTAATTAAGAGTGAAATAGTCCATCACCGTACCACAATTCTAAATACATAGTATCAATTAAAAGTATTTTTAAGCAATGAAATTGTGGCTCCTAATTTTTGTTGAACATGTGAATAAACCAAATAGAACTTCTTCTTTGGAACGATTTGACCATTCCACTTTCATAGATAGCCAAAAAGAACTTAAATTGTTGAATTTGTGGCCCCTAATTAATGAGCGGTTTCACACATGTGTAATTACATTCGTATTGACTTTTTTGGTTTAAATACTATAATAATGTCTTATACTATATTTTATTTGATTCTTTTACAAATCAATTGAATTTATCGTCTTTCAGCCTTTAATTTATAAATGGTTGGATTTACACTTTATTAACTATATATAATATATATTTATTGAATAATGATTGTTTGATTTTTTTTATAACTGAAAATGTTCTTTGCGTCTAATATATACAAAGATTGATCTCATTTGTATAATGACATTTCAAATTCAATTATTTCAACTATGTTAAATAATTTTTTCAAAGGAGTATATGTTTTTTTTGTCCAATTTATTGGAATTAAAATTGATACTTATTAAACGGATTTTTTACACATCTAAGGTAAATCTTCCCATATATAGTAAATTAGATCTTGTAAGATTTAGTTTTTTTTTTTTAAAAAAAAGATCTTGTAAGATTTAGGAATCTTATTTAAGTCCATGTAATTAAATTACTGATCTCCTATAATTTTTAATAATATAATCAAGGAAACTCGAGTTTGACACCAAACAAAGATAATTTAATCTTAATTCAAAAATTAAAGTAAAAATACACATTAATCAAATATGTTTTATTTTTTTTATTTTTTTTTAAATCGATATTTCTGAATTTCTGATACCAGAATTAGTTTCCAAATCCAATATATTTCGAATAAAATAATTCCAGTCAAAAACACTATAAGGATATAAAGTGTTAGCAGTAAAAAGCAGTTTATAAATATCTCTTGAATATTACATATTAGAATCCGCTCGAACTACTGAATTTCATCATAATTTTGAAGAAACTTATCTTACTCCTATTCTAATTATCTGTCTTTGCTTTTTTAGTTTTTTCAAAGAAATTATATCTATTTTTATGTTTGGTAAATTTTTAATCCAAATATTCTTATTAATTTTAGACATAATGATACTCCCTTATGCAGTGGCGGAGAGCTGGAATAAGAATTATTACTAACAGAGTTCAAAATTTGAAGAAGTAGACACATCAACTAGTCAAAGAAAATTCGACATCAAATATATATACATATGAAAAAATTATATCAATCATGTATAAATAATAAAATTCTCTATCGAAAGGAGTTCGAATAAACCCCAGCCCTTATGGGCAGTGGTTGACAAGAAAATATTTATATACATATATTATCTGTTAATTCCTCTTGACTTTTTTCTTTAATGTTTAGTACTTCTTTATATTTTGCTATTAAAAAAATCCGATTTTGCTAGTGCTTATAAGAAAAACATGACATATTAAATATTATTGTACAAGATTTAACTTTCTTTTTTTTTTTTTTAAATTTTATATTTGATTAAACTAAAACATATAAAATGAAATCGCGATAGAGTACTTCCATATATAGAACTTGGAATATAATAATGTACTGCTACAATTCATTTGTTATGTGTCACTATCTCATAGACCTCTATATAAATATATAGATATCCTTATGTTATCAAATAAGAAAAAAATAACTATAACATACATAATATTATAACATGGAGGGAAATTCATCTAGAGGAAAAAAAACCATGCAAGAGAAAGATGAAGTGAAATACCGCGGCGTTCGTAGGCGGCCGTGGGGGAAATTCGCGGCGGAGATACGTGATCCAACCACCAGGCCTGGTTCCCGACAGTGGCTCGGGACGTTTGATACTGCTGAAGAGGCTGCTAGGGCTTATGATAAGGCAGCATTTAATCTAAGAGGACATCTTGCTACTCTAAATTTTCCTAATGAGTATTATAATCAACTTTCTTGTCCTCCTTTATATTATGGTAATAATAACTCAATTATTTGTTCATCAACAAATAATGTTACTTCAAATAATATTCCAAGAGGAAAAGGAATTATTAGTTCATCATCAACAACAAATTATAAAGGTAGGGAAATTATTGAACTTGAGTGTCTTGATAATAGTGTTCTTGAAGAACTCCTTGGTGTTGAAGATCCAAAAATTACAAAAAGAAAATAAGGTTAAGTATTGTAAACTTTATTAGTGATATCCTTCTTTGGTATTAATTAGAAGGAGATTTTAAAAAAAATAATCTTGAGTTTCATGTAATGTATTGTTTAGATTAAGCTTATTAATCATCATCAATATGCAAAACTTTGTTTTTATTAATTAATCTCCTCTTGGAAAAGCTAATGAATAAGCTATATAGATTTAAGGGTGATCAAGTGATGAATACGTACCTAACAACAATATGGGTCGTGTGGTGCAGTGGTGGGACTGTTCCACTCTGAATCAGAGGTCTTGGATTTGAGTTCTGAGTTTGGAGAAAATCATGTTGGGAGCGCCATCTTCAGAATGGATCTTGCTCAGTTTTAATTGAAGCTCCGAAGCGGAAAACTATATTGTATATATAAGATGCATTTTTTTTTAATGTACTGTTAAATCTTGAGCACCATCAATAAAATTTCTAGTTATATATGGCTATCGAGAATTTGAGATGATTTATTTTCTTATTGTGATTTCTATACATTTCTTGATATTTGATAAGAATTGTTGTTATGGTATCGTTGTTGAGAAGGTGAAATGCTGAAATAGTAAGTTTGATTATATCGTCTATGGTTTACTTTAGACATATTGAAGGAATAAACAATCTTTAATTTATTCCTCGAATAAGTCAAGAAAGAAATAGGATAAGATAAAGATGGTATAACAGATAATTACTGGAAAAATTAATTTAAAAATAGAGTGGAAAATTTATAATAATGAGATACATTTGTCAATTCATTTACCATAAACAGGTGAGTATTTTTCTCCCCTCACCCAAAAAAATGTTGATTATACCAAACAAAAGTTGTTTCAAACACACCAATTTGAAGGGAGCCTAGGTAGAAATCAAATTTTAAATATATCCCAATTGATTTAATTTTATATACGATAAGAGACCTTTGGTTCGAATCTAGCTAAAATGGCATAGTTGTGCCGGAAAAAGAATAAAGAGAGCATTTAACTATTACATGTACACTCTATTAATTTGGTTAATTAGGAAGATAACTTAATTGATAGAGCTTCACCTCTTTGAAATTGAATCATTGCGATTAAGGGTTGGATATTTAATTGCCAAAGCAAAAAGAATATTATTTTATATCTGAACCGGTGACTCACTTTTTTTAAGTAATAGAAAGAAGACAAAAATCTGCAACTAAAAACAATTTTATCAAGAACATATAGGATGAGCATTTGGTCAAATTTAAGGGGGGAAATGTCTGAAATATATTTGAACTTTCATCAAAATTGTTATAATAATTTCAAACTTTGGGCAGGACATATAACTCCTTGCACTATTTAATACTGTATTTTAAAGACATATAAGTGTCCAGCTGGACAAGTTACTATTTATAATGATGCAATATGTATGATGTCCACGTGGACACCTATATATCTTTAAAATACACTATTAAATAGTGCAGAGGTAATAGGTCATGCCCAAAGATTGGAATTGTTACAACAATTTCGGTCAAAGTTCAGATATATTTCAAACCATTTTATCCAAATTTAATATACATCATACATGTCCAATTTTAAATGCATTTCTTGAGCAAAATAATGAAAATCAAACTGTTCCTTTTTCTAGTGAAATCACTGTGTTTTTAAGAGTGAATCACTTTATAATTATTCCCCTTTGACTCATTCAAATAAAGAATAAATAGAAAAAAGAATAAAGTTCAAAATGAACACATGATAATAAGGAGATGCCATTTCTTAGTAAAAAGGGATTAGAAAATGTTCAAGATTAAAAGTAAGCAACTTGGGTATAGTTTTTCGGTACGATGGAAAATATTTAATTTCCAGAAAACTTAAAAACGAAGAAAATAACTTTTCTAGTAAAAGTTAGAAAAACAAGTTTCACAAGCGACATATTCTACATTGATTATATCTTTCCTGCCTCCATTCCCTTTCACCGGACGCTCATATCTCCATCCACAGACCCCACCTTCTCAAATATTTCTCTATAGGTTATAAACAAATGTCGTTAATTCGTTATAATAATATTTTTTACTTAAATATCGAATATCTGATATGATGATGATAACATTCTAAATTTCGAATATATGATTTTCTTTAATAAATTCTGAATCTTCTTTTAAGATTACGTGCATGAAGAACATCTATGGTGACACCATGATAAGGTACCTATGCCAAAAATGAATTTCGAATGTTATCTAAGTACGACTAATTAATTAATTAAGGAACGATACAACGCTACCTTTAATATTTATCAATTTAGTTTGTGGTTTACTTCCCTAAATAAACATTGTGATTAGCCTTTTATATATATTTTTTCTATTTTTGGTAATTTAAGATGTGTGTTCATGACGCATAAGAAATTACTCGAAAAATATTAATTTTTAAAAAGATAACCCTTTATACTTATTTATAAAAAAATATTGATAAAATTGAATACTCAGCAGGTATATATATACATTTTATACCTTCAGGATAAGCTTTTACTTTTTATATATAGGCATCGAAAATTCTTTGCCCATGGTTTGTTTCGTAACAAGGAAAATGATTTTCATAGAAAAATATTTTTCTAAGAAATATTTTCTTGAAATATAAATGGCTTTCTTAATTGACTTTTAGTGTTTGGTTAGTAAGTAACAGAAAATCACTTATTTTTCGACCCTGACTCGGATCGACCCAAAACACGATATTGACCCATAATTGGGACTTGACTCCCGACACGAACACAAAACACAATTCCTGATTCTGATTTAAGACCTAACTCTCGATCCTAATCTGAGACTAATTGAGATTTGACCTTGATCTGGGACCCAAATCTTGATTTTGATCCCAATTCGGCACCTGACTTCCAACCTCAATTCAGGACTTGACTCCTAACCCTAACTGGGGACCCAAAAACCAACCCTGATTCGGGACCCCACTCCTAACCACAATCCAAAAGTCAGGATTATGAGTATCGTTTCCTAGGTGGAGGTTGTATCCCTGATCTCGAATTAGGTGGTTAGGTTGAAAGAGATTTAAAATTATTTTTTTCTAATTTTATGCCGGAAGTTATTATCATTAAATTTGAGAAAATAAAATCCATTTGAAAAACATTTCTCAAAACATTTAACTAAGCCATGACAACATCGGAAAATATTTTCCTTCATATAAAACACAAAAAATGATAATTGATCATAATTAATCAACTCAAACTTAAATGAATTATAATTTCATAGACTAATTGTCACCTCTACATCAAAGTGCACTAAAAATGTATCAGAGAAATTGATTAAGAATTACATATATATGATCAAGTGAAAACAAGATCATCAGAAAGCAAAGTTTGTTTATAAGAGGCACAAATAATTTCTTATCGATTAAATAATAATCAAATCGTTAAAGAACAAAAAATCAATTAACCAAAAATTAATAACGAATATTCTATTGATTTTGTTATTGATTTAATATATCTATAAATCATAAACTGACAAATCAAACCAATAATACACATAACAGAACTTACATATAATGACGATAAGACTTTATAGTCTAATAGTATCGATAGGTATGAGTTCAATTCTCGCGGTCTCTTCAGTACTGGTTCCCAATGTAAATGAAAAAAAAATAAACATAGACCTATATAGAGGCCTATTAATGATCCCTTAATATTAGTAGAAATTGTGTCCAAATATATGCAGCATGAATGTGACAGATATAAAAAAAATTGGACATGGTGTCATGGACTCAATTTTATTAGGTGTCAGCACTTAATAGTCAACCTAATGAAAAAATAATCAAGGGCCACAAACTTTTTATCAACTTGCATTTCTTTTTGTCAGTGGTATACCTGACAAAAAATATATGAAAAAGCATAGAGCTAAAAATTTGTTGAGAGAAATGACAATTAATATTTATGATCACAAAGACTTTAATTTTTCTTTTGTTGACCTTTCAACATTTGCATTTAGCAAATATAGTAGTACATTGAGTTACAAGAATTGTAGCAACAAATTGGTTTCCCACCCGGTGTCCGGAGCCCATATTGGAGTTTCGACTAAGTTCGGATCACGCTCTGCAAGGCCCATTCGAGGTGGCGCTCCCAACAGAATTTTCTCCATACCCAGGGCTCGAACCCGAGACCTCTGGTTAAGGGTGAAAGACTCCCACCAATGTATCACAACCCATGTTGATTGTAGCAACAAATTGATTGCTACATTCAAACACAAAAAAAATTCATAGTGAAATTAAAATAGAGTATATGATAAATAGACCTAGAACATTATTTAAATTAGTGGACGTACGGAGCTATAGGGGCGGAAGGGGATTCAGACCAAGTACATTATTCAAATTAGTGGATGGAGCTAGAGGGACAGAAGGGGTTTAGACGAACCCCTTTTTCATAAAAACATAATCATAATGCATATATAAGATGAAAATATTTCATTTTCTTTAACGTATATATATATGATAGATGATGAGCTTTCTTAGTGAAAAGCTTCTTGCATGCCTCCGCCACATTTGAAATGATCTTTATTTCCTCTTGTTTGGCTCTTCATCACAATCAAGAAGTTCCTCCAACAACTTATCATCCAAGTATTCAAATTCAAGAACTTGCCTTGACGACGACGACGATGATGAAGCCATTGATGATGAAGAATAAGAACCAGCACTATAAAAATGTGAAGAGCTATTAGGTAAATTATACTCCTCAGGAAAATTAAGTATAGCCAAATGTCCCCTCATTGAATAAGCCGCCCTATCATAAGCTCTTGCTGCTTCTTCCGCAGTATTGAATGTCCCTAGCCATACACGTGCCCCTTGTCGCGCTGAGTCACGTATCTCTGCTGCAAATTTCCCCCACGGGCGCCTCCGTACGCCTCGGTATTTGATCTCTCCACCACCACCACCACCACCATTCGTTCTTCTTCCATTGCTAGGATCTTGTTCCATGTTTAATTTTATTTTCATGTCTTATTAATGGACTATATATATATATATAAGGTGGCAAGTGATTTGGCGCTTATAATAAAAGGGTACAAAATTTCGGTCTTTGGTTTTAAAAAATGGACGGTGGAGAATAAGACACGTGGAATATCCTAGGGTCCAAAAATGTTCCCACGTGGTGAAAAAGAAACTTCTTTATATTTTTAGACCAAAGTTTTGATGCAGTGTATCTGGAATGGTCAAATGATGGCTATTTGAAAAATAATTCAAGTCTTCTTTTTTCTTTTCATCAGCTTTTAATTTCTGCATGCATGTGTATTGACCTCCTTTTGGTATAATATATGTTTCAAGTGATAAAAAGTTGTTGGATTTTAAATAAACGAAAGAGTTAATTATTATGAAAAAATATTGGTCAAACTTTATTATGAGGTAATTTTTTTAAGGTAATTAAGTGATTTTTTCTACTTTGATAAAAAGTGAAGAATTAAGTGACTAGCTATTTCATGATTAGGAAGTGTTTAAGTACAATAAAGTGATTGAGAAACGTGATATGTGTCATTACGCATAAATAGTTAGCATGACACGTGTCGCATGCATGAAAGTAGATTTGTATGTTGACACGTGTCACACTTATATTGCGTTTGCATTATGCTTATGTGATCATTCTCCATATATAAATAGTTCATTATATTATGGCTTCATTTCGCATCAAGAGAATAGTATCTTAGTTAAATACATCTATTTTATCGGTAATTGAAGTATAAAATAGTCTTAAAAAACAGGCCATCTCCCAACTGCAATTCACAGTTATTCCCATAAAAAAACATGAGAAAGAGCTCAATACAAAAGGAAAAATAAAATTATATTAAAGTTAAATTGCCTCCGCTGAAAATAATTCAAAAGCGCTATACAGTCAGGTATGTTTCTTGATTAAAGTAATATTAATTATATGATGTTTTGCAAAAATTATGTCGAGTTTTCAATTAGATTGTTTAAATTTCACCAAATAAAATCGAGAAAATCACAACACCTTTTCTATTTTAGATGAAATTAATAACACATAAAATTTGAAAAAGAAAAGAAAAACTAAAATGATTTTAAGTATGTGGGTTTATAGTGTCCATTGAGTTGATGTGAGGTCACTTGCTTGTGCACTTGGCTCTACGTATAACGAAATAATAAAAACTAGTCTAGTCTTTTCCCATACAGTAAAATTATTTTGTAGGGTATACATTCATTAAATTATTAATAATGCAAAATATTAATTATGAGGTAGAATTTTTAATTTCTACTTGTGGAGTGTTGGATTTTAAATTTTAAGACATGAGAATATTTAAAATAAAAATTTAAATTACATATAAATATTTTAATGTGCTCATTTTCATCATATTGATATGATCTGAAGAATTGTAATCTATCATATATTTTTGCACAATTTTGGATCAATTAATTTAATTTAATGTAGCTCTAAATATTAATAAGATTGAATATCAGAAAAAGAACTTAAAAAAATACATATTTTTGGGCACCATTTAATATTTAGAAAAGGTCCCTAAGGGATCAAATATTTAGATTATATTCTCTTCTCTTTTTTTTTTTGGGTTAAGAATTAACATTAGAAAACATATCTTAGAAAGATTATATTAGAGATTAGTGGAGTATATAGGGTGATTTAATTAAACGTACTAATTATTCCTACAATTTATTTTTGCTCTTTACATTGAATTGATCATCTAATCTAATCTTATAATATTCTTAGCTAATCTTGTTTCATTGTATAAACATTATGTGCTTTTTTGGGGTCAACCTGCCCATCAATAACATTTTGGGGTTATATTGAAAAAGGTAAGTAAACGTGTTATAAGAATAGTTTGGGGTCAACCTGCCCATCAATAATATTTTGCGGTTATATTGAAAAAAGTTAATTATAAATTAAATTAACGTGTTATAACATTATTTTGGGGTCATTCTGTGTCACGACCCAGACCGTCGTGATTGACATCCACACTAATTCTCCGGTGGGAGAACCACTACTACAACCCAAACCAAGCAACTAAACCAAAAACTAAACATTTAAGTTACGGAAGCAAGTTAAATAGCTAAAGATTGAAGTTCCCATAAACTTCCAAAAGATCTAATAACTAAACAATGCGGAAAATACACCTAGAACCTGAAATTCAATGTACCAAAATATCTAAAGTTCAACAAGTCTAAACAAGAAGGGATACAACCCCCAAACTAATGAACTAATAACTAACTAGAAAGTCTAAGTCCGAAATGTGGACATGGACAGAAAGAGAACTCATGGCAGCCCGGAAGAACTGGTTCACCCTTGAATTCGAACGACGATCAGTGATCTTCTAAGCGAGGTCTGTCAATAGCCACTTGAAGATGCCCTGTACTCAACAAAGAAAAAGCAAGTGCAGTATCAGTACACAACCACAATGTACTGGTAAGATCACACGGCTATCCCAATAAGTGCAACATACATAAGCCATTACAACAATATAATCACATGCATATATCGAACATATACAATATCATCATCATTTACGAACAACGAACAATTTCACATTTCTCAAGATACACAATTATATCAAATCATTAGTCCTCTCATAGAACCCAAACCCAAACTGTTAGCATAACGAAACGTGGTACCCGATCCAATGATTATGTCGGAACGTGACAATCAATTTCATAATTATGCCGGAACGTGGCAACCGATCCAACTTAGTGTGTTGGAACGCAACACCCGATCCATTCAACAAGCCACAATCACAATCACAAAGTTCATTCTCATAATCATACAATCAAGTCATGATTCATGACATTCATCATTCATATATCCCCATTTACAACTAATGTGATCAATAATGCAACATTCATATACATACATGTATTATAATGAAGCAAGAACAAACATACATCACACAAAATGAAATCGCAATCATCACCTACCTCGAAACAAGCTTGAAACCCTAGAAACTTGGTTCTTCCCTTTCCGGATTTGTTCCGCTTGTTCTTGGTCTACAAACAATCAATATAATATGGGAATCAATAAACAATAACTAATTACTCTGATTACTAACAATTCTAACAACCCTAGATCATACCCATGATCCCACTACCAAAATCAGGGATTTTTCCACCATAATTCTCAGATCAAAACTCTCCTTCATCGATATTTACCCATTAGATTATGTTTTATGGATAGAAAAATGGATTCGGGGAGTTAAAACCTTACCTTTAGCCTTAAAGATGGTGGAAAATTGTCAAGTATCGCCTGGGGTTCGTCTCCTTACTCTCAAAGTTGAAAAGTGCAGAATAAAGATGTTTTGGGGTTTATTTCAGACTTAGGTCGCTTTGGGCCCGTCATAGCAGTCCCCACCCCACTACAGCGCCCCCCCCCTAGCGACAGAAACCACCGCCAAAGCGTCTTGCATGAAAGAGTGAGCAATTTTAATAATTCCAATAACCCCATTTCACAACACGCCTTCAACCAACGACACTCAGAAACTACCCGTTCATGCTAAGATCAATTTCAAAAGTTCTACTCACCTGAATTCAATTTCGTAAAGTCATACGGATTCCTTAACAACTTATATATCTACTCATGTGATCAAATTCATAATTAGACCACCCAATTATTATCAGAATTCCCTAGACTTTAATGACTCCGATTTCACCCAAATCTGGACTAGGTTGGGAACCAAATTACTGCGAAAAAGTTTTTCGACCCAAAATTTTCCCCGTTGACTTTTCTATAACGACGGAACCCGATCGTTACATCCTACCGATCAATAATATTTTCATATAATTCATTCTAGAAAGAGATCAATCAAGCTTGCGAGTAATTTTAATTTTTCTCTTACAAAAGATTACATGATCCAAATTCTCAACCTATTCAAGGTGTATTCGATACGAAGGAATAATGGGTTGGGGTTGAGCAATTTGGGGTATATTTTGTATGGGTTATTTTAAGAGTTTTCCTTACGTAACTATACGTGTGATAAAGAAATCAACAAAAATGATCGTATTTATATGTAATGATATTATATAAATAATGTATAACGATGTATATATGATGTAATATTATGTATTAGAGATGTATATACATCAATATACATTGTTTGTATAATATATATACATTACGATAGTTCATCTCCTTGTTGAGTTGATTTTCTTTTCAATCCCAACCAACACAAATTTCCTTCAAGCAATCTCAAATTTTCTATATTTTGATATATTATTCACTCAAAACGATTCACATTTATTGCAGGTAGAAAAAATTTCTTTAGCAATTGTTGAATTCAACAAATTTTAGCAATTAAGCAAAACACAAGTGAATATATTTTAGTGTAAATTTAATAAATAACATATTTAAGAATGATATTACTAGTTATAACATGACTTTCTCATTTTCAATATATAACATTAGATTTCTAACAAATAATAAATTAATAAATTAAATAAAAAACGGAAAATAGATTAAAATAATTTTTAATCAACTAATTAATAAAATATAATTATAGTATTCTATAACTGATAGTATATCAATACCATGATTTTTAGTCCAATTTTGAGGTCACTTTTTGTTTAGTTTAGCAACGATGGAGATTTGATTTGCCCGATGGGTAACTTACAAAAAATTCACTAGTTTAGATACAAGCTAGTTTGTTATGTAATGAATTTTATCAGATCTTGGTGCATTTAGATACATGTTTCTTAGATTATATGGGGTCAAAATTAGGTGTAATTTGTTTTAGATACATTGTATCCAAATGTATTCGCATATATTTGAGATAGATAAAATTCCCTCCCTTTCATCTTATTCGTCACTCTCTTATCTTGCATGTGTATCTGGTATCTCAGATACATGTGAATTACATTAGATACATATATTTGATGCGATACGAATATATTTGAGATACATAGACAAACCTCACTCCCCTCCCTCCTTATTAGTGTATCTGATAGCAAAAGACATGTATCTAACTTGAAATTTGATATGAAATTATTAACGA